TGTGATGCTGTATGTGGGGGCGGGGTCAGAGAGGGGAAAAAAATGGCACTTTGCTCCGCTCTCTGTTGCACCTCAGTTTCTTCCTCCACTTCCCCCAAGTAAATTGGGCCTTTCTGATGCTAGTTCCCGTGTGGGTAGGCTTTTGTGCATTCTAGGACCCTGTGGGTCTCTCCAACAAACTTTCTCATGAGGGCGGGAGCCTCTCCCTGTGCCTCAACCAGTGTTTTCAATCAGTGTTTTGAGGCTTTATTTCCCAGTGCTAGGACCCTGGGTTGCACGATCCCTCTCCTCCCCAGTTGTCTGCATGCGAATGTGGGACCACTGCCTGGTCAGCCAGCCACCTTGTGCACAGTGCCCTGCCTTTCAATCGCTGCCTCGCTGGGTCTGCCCACTGCCACCCCACACCCGGGGTCTGCCAGCTGCTTCCTGGGTGCCTAGGGTCTGCCTGGTGCCTCCTTGCATGCCTGGTGCCTCCTCGTGTGCCCAGTGTCACCTCTACCTGTGCTGTGACCCCTCTCCTCTAGGCTGCCACCCGACTGCACCCCACCTACCAGTCTGGATGAATGTGTGTATTGGTTGTTCGAGGAGGCACAGTGTGTCTACCTATGCCTCGATCTTGGCCGGAAGTCCCCTTTCATGACTTTGAATACTTCTTTCTGGTCCCTTTTTGCCTGTAAGATTTTTGCTTTTGTTTTTGTTTTAGTTTTTGTTTTGAGAAATCAGCTGCTAGTGTTATGGGAACTCTTTTGTAGGTAACTGTCTCTTTTTCTCCTGCTGCTTTTAAGATTCTCTCCTTATCTTTAATCTTGGGTAATGTAATTATGATGTGCTTTGGTGTATGCTTCCTTTGGGTTCAACTTCTTTAGGATGCTGAGCTTCCTGGACTTTCTGGAAGTCTATATTTTTTGGCAGATTAAGGAAGTTCTTCATTGTTATTTTTTCAAATAAGTTTTCAATTTTTTGTTCTTTCTCTTCTCTTCTGGTGCCCCTATGATTCAGATGTTGGAATGTTTAAAGTTGTCCTAGAACTTCCTAAGCCTCCTCATTTTTTTGAATTCTTGTTTCTTCATTCTGTTCTTGTTGAATGTTTATTTCTTCCTTCTGCTCCAAACCGTTGATTTGAGTGATAGTTTCCTTCCTTTCACTGTTGGTTCCCTGTGCATTTTTCTTCCCTTCACTGTTGGTTCCCTGTGCATTTTTCTTCCCTTCACTGTCGGTTCCCTGTGCATTTTTCTTTCCCTGTGCATTTCTACTATGCATAGCCTTCACTTTTTCCTCAACTATGTGACCAGCCACTTCTGTGAGCATCCTGATTACCGGTGTTTTGAACTCTGCATCTGATAAATTGGCTGTGTCTTCATCACTTAGTTCTGTTTTTGGAGCTTTGATCTGTTCTTTCACTTGGACCATATTTTTTTTGTCTTGGCACACCTGTTATGTTGTTGTAAGGGGCAGAGCCTTAGGTATTCTCCAGGACAGGGCAACCCACATTGCTGTGTTGTGATGCCGTAGGTGAGGGAGGGGTCCGAGAGGGAACAACAATGCTTGCTTGGCTCTCAACTGGCTTTCACTCACTTCCCCCACTAACCACAAGCAAATTAGGCCCTTCTGGTGCTGATTCCTGGGTGGGTGGGTTTGTGTATGCTCTAGGACCCTGTGGATTTCTTCAACAAACTCTCTTGTGAGGCTGGAGTTTATCCTGCTGCCACAAGCCCTACAGATTTTTACAGTCAGAGGTTTTGCAGCTTTCTTTTCCTGCGCAGGAACTCTGGATTGTGTGGTCTGTCTCGCTCCCCAGTTGTTCCACCTGTTTTATCTGCATGCAAATGTGCAACCACCTAGTCTGCCAGCTGCCACCTCACCCACCTAGTCTTCCAACTCCTGCCTTGCCATGTTCTCTCCACCCAGGTTGCCCATCTCCTACTCCTCCTACCAGTCTGAATGAATGCTTCTTCTTTAATTCCTTGGTCGTAGGACTTTCATACAGTTCAATTTTTTGGCAGTTCTTGTTATTTTTTGTTTTTTAATTTGTTGTTGTCCGTTTGGTTCTGTGAGCAGGCGAAGTATATCTACCTGTGCCTATACCTTCATCTTGGCCAGAAGGCCCTGGGCAGGGTCATTCTTCACTCACAAGCCCAACTGGTACTACCATTCCTATGCAGAGCCCTCCCTTTATATGGCCACATCTTAGCCTGTTTGGGCCTGATGAACTCTGCTGGCTATGTCCTGATGACTACCTGAGACCCTGCCTCCTACCAAGGTCCACAGGCGCCAGCAAATGGTGTACCCTGATACTTTTGTTAAGTGGCCTCAGTCCCAGCATGGGCACCGAGTTTGATTCTTTGTTACTATGGTGCACACCACTCATCCTTACCTGGTGACTCACTGAGAACCTACCTCACCCAACCTGTATCCCACCAGAGCCTCTTTCAGTGACAGCCTTACAGGCAGCCAATAAGCAGAGGCAGATGTGAGAATGCCTTGGGCCTTTTGCTGACCTTTTCCCAGGATTCTTGCCGGTGGAAGCCTGCCTTGGTTTACAGTTAGCCCCTACAACACCCAGGCCCAGCACAGGCAGCCACAATCTGTGGATCACTTTGTAGCTCCAAACAGGTAGCCCAGGGCCAGTCGCAGGAAGTGTCTGACATTGATCTGCCTTTCAAGAGGCCCCAGAACCAACACATCCAGTGGCAGGATTCAAACCATATCAAAGCAACACCCAATTAACTCCACAAGTGGTACACCCAAAGGGAAATCTCAACAGGTACCAGACCCTTCAGAGGCTACTTTCACTTCATAAGGTCAGTCCCCACATAGGAGCTTTACACTGTGGTTGGAGTCAATCCTCACAGACAGCCAGCTCAAGAATCATCTCCACCAAAGGACAAGTGAACAGCAATCAGGACTCAGTTACGACAGCAGCTGTCACAAAACACACAGGAGGGACATTCCTAGAGTACCTAGGGCTGGCTTTAGCTCAGTGGGTACTTCGATTCACAAACAACACCTAGAGTACCTAGCTCAAGTGATCAGAAAGACAGCACCACTGAGTCCACAAGATGATACCTGAGGCCACTATAACATGACTGGAAGGCGTAGAAGATCTACCTAATACACAGAAACAATTATAGAGAGGCAACCTAAATAGGGAGAAAAAGAAACATACCCCAACAAAAAGAACTGGGCAAATACTCATAAAAAGAACTAAATGAAATGAAGACAAGCAATCAACCAGATACACAGTTCAAAACAGTGGTTATAATGATGCTCAAGAAACTTAACAGAAGAACAGATGAGTTCAGTGAGAATTTGGATAGATAGTAAACATAAAAAGAGAAATGAAAACTATAAGAAACTAGTTTAAAAATGAAGACTACAATATTTTAAATGAAAAATATACTAAATCAACAGCAGATTAGATTAAGCAGAAGATCCAGTCAGCAGTTTGGAAGACAAGGTAACAAAAATATCCAATCAGAATAGCAAGAAGAAAAAAAATTAATGAAAATAGTTCAAGGGTCCTGTATGACAACATGAAGTATAACAATATTTGCATCATAGGGGTGACAGAAGAAGAAGAGATGAAGAGATTGGCTATCATCAATAAATCCACAAATAGTAAGTGCTGGTGAAGATGTGGAGAAAAGGGAACTCTCATGCACTGTTGGTAAGAATGAAGTATAGAGAGTCCTCAAAAATTAAAAATGGAGCCTTGGCCACTATGGCTCAGTTGGTTAGAGTGTTGTTCTGTAAACCGAAACATTATAGGTTCAATTCCTGGCCAGGGCACATGCATAGGTTGCAGATTCAGTCCTAGGTTGGGGCATGTATTAGAGGCAACAGATCAATGTTTCTTTCTTGTGCTGATGTTTCTCTCTCTCTCTTTCTCTGAAATCAATAAGCAGGTACTCAGGTGTGGATTTAAAAAATTAAAAATGGATCTGCCTTATGACCCAATGATTCCATTTGTAGATATATATCTGAAGAAATCCAAAACACTAATTTGAAGGAATATATGTACTCCTATGTTCATTGCAGCATTGTTTATGATAGCCAGGTATGGAAGTAACTCAAATGTCAATCAATAGATTGTTGTATATAAAAAGATGTGGTATATATACAATGGAATATTACTGGGTCATACAAAAAAATATAATCTTACCACTTGGGATGGATGAATCTAGAGGGTATTATGCTGAGTGAAATAGACCGGTCAGAGAAAAACAAATAACATATGATTTCACTTATATGTGAAATTTAAAGAACAAAGTAAATTGAAACAAACAAAGTAAAGAACAAACAAAATTGAAACAGACTCATTGACAAAGAAAACAGACTGATGCTATTGCCAGAACACCTGGGTTTGGGGGACTGGATGAAAAAGGTGAAAGAATTGAGAAGTACAAATTGGTAATTACAAAATATTCATGAGGATATAAAATACAGCATAGAGAATATAGTCAGTAATATTGTAATAACTATGTATGCTGCTGGGTGGGTGCTGGAAATACTGGGGGAACACCTTGCAAAGTATATGATTATCAAACTACCATGCTGTACAACTGAAACTCATATAAAATAATATCAAATTTAAACTGTAGTTGAAAAATAAAATTTAAAACCAAAAGAAACAAAGAAAAAGAACAGAAGTGAGAAAGCCACCCAGCGCCTCCAATGTGTTGGCGTGTCCTGAGCTCTCCTCACATGAGAAAACACAATTGTAATTATCTGTGCACATACTCCCTTCTTGTCCTCCCTTCTTGAAGCTGAGTGCTTGGGAAGTTCACCAAATTCATTTTATAATTCACATCTTTTACACAACTCAGCACTCTTGCTGCTTGCTCATATCTGCCTCCCTCCACTGGCACATCTGTAGGGGGGGGGTGTGTCAGGTCTGGGTGTCACTCCTGGACTCTCCAGTTTACATCACTGATTGAGACCAATGCCAACAAAAATTGGAACTTCAATTTTTGTCTGTTTTTTTTTTCTTTTCTACCTAGGAGAACCAGGACATCCTGGTAATCCAGGGAAGGATGGAATGAATGGAGAAAAAGGAGAACAAGGTCAGAAATTGTGTTCCATTTCACCATGCACTAATCCTGAACTATTAATGATTTAGCAATAATTATTAAGTTCTTACCAAGGGCAAGTACTTTACTAGGCTGTGGGGATGATCCAACAATAAAGTGAACACAGTTGTTGCTCTGCAGAACCTCCTAATTCAGTGCAGAGATCAGCAAACTTTTCCTGTAAAGGGCCAGAGAGAAAGAATTTTCATCTTTGCAAACCATATGGTCTCTGTTACTTGATTCAACTCTGACATTGTAGCAAAAATCTGCCATAGACTGTTTGTAAGTAAATGGGGAAGTGCTGCAGAAAAAACTCTGTGAAAACTGAAATCTGAATTTTATATAATTTTCATGTATTGCAGAATATTATTTGTGACTATTTTAAAATGTAAAGAATTCTTAGTTTGTGGGCCATACAAAATCAGACAGTAAGCTAGATTTTGTCCATGGGGTCTCATTTACTGAACCTCAGTTAGTGTATGACATTGAGGAATGACACTGAATTTTGACTCAGTGTGTCTGGTGGGACTACATGGAGAGGGTGGCACTTGAATTGGGCAGGAAGAGAAAGGAGGACTCTTGGCAACTGTGACTGATGGGGATGGAGAATTGTCATAATGGCAAACATGCAACATTCACTTTGTGCTAAGTTGCTCTAAGTGCTTTTCATGTATTGATTCACTTAATATAATAGCCTATAAATGAATATTATTATCCCAGTATGGAGGAGGAGGAGGAGAAAAAAGAGGTATAGGTGGCCAGTCAGCTTGCCTAACATCCCACACTGTGTGTAAGTGGTGGAGAGAGGATTGAATTCTGTTGTTTAACTCCCAGGTCCATACTCATAACCACCACTGTCCAACCAAGCTGAAGGAAACAGGGAAGCACTGAGCTACTGAATAACAAATGGTGCAGGACACTGGGCACAATGGACAGGCCAGGCTGGACAATAGAGAATGCCACACTGAAGACTTTAGTTACTGTTCACTCCCATCAGGAGCTTTTGGGAGGGTGTCACATAATTGAGTGTCAGTTTATTGAAAGTCCCCTGAGTTACCCAGATTTTGCCATGTATAATGTGCACTTTTTTTGCCCGCATTTTTGAGGGAAAAATAATGATGCACACCATACATGGGTATAATGATTACATACCATGGTTATAATAATCCCATGCATAATGTATACAGAAATGTGGGTGTGCATTATACATGGTAAAATATGATGATCTGTCCTTTGCTGTTCTTATCTGTTCCAAAAATGTGTTTCCTCAAAGCAGCATTGTTTAGTGGTCAAATATATAGTAGACTTAGGTGGTAAAAAGTTTTGCTTTCAGACTCACTGCTGCTTGAAACCTGAGTCTCAGCCTCTTGCCTTCCTTTCTGAACAGCATGTGCTTCAGCACCCACTCCAGCTTTTCCACAAACTACAGGACCCTGGGCTCTATGTCATTGCCCAGCCACTGAGTCTGGCCAGCCAGGAGCATGGCCAGCATCTCTTAGCCATGGGGAGCTCAGGCTCCCAGATCTCTGTGTCCCACTCCACTGGTGTGCAGGGCAGCTGAAGATCTGGGGTCCTGGCTGCAGGGATGACCACGCATCTGGCAGGCATAGGCAGCATCTAGAGGATGAAGGAGACTATGCAATGCCTGGATGACCACCTAGCCTCCAACCTGGAGAAGATGAGAAGCCTGGAGGTTGATGATCAGAGACTGGAGACCAAAATTTGGGTACACTTGGAAAGAAAGGGAGCCCAGGTCAGAGACTGACCTGGGTCAGTCTCTGGCATTATTTCAAGACCATTGAAGACCTGAGGGCTCAGATTTTTGCAAGTTCTGTGGGCAATAGCACATCGTTCTGCAGTTTGACGATGCCCATTTTCCTGCTCATGATTTCAAAGTCAAGTATGAGACAGAGATGGCCATGCGCCAATCTATGGAAAATGACATAAATGGGCTCTGAAAGGTTACTGATGACACTAATACTACTGGAGACAGAGATTGAGGCTCTCAAGGAAGAGCTGATTTTCGAGAAGAAGAACCACAAGGAGGAAGGAAATGGTCTACAAAACCAGATTGTCAGTTCTGGGTTGACCATGGGGTTGGAGGCCCCCAAATCTCAGGATGTCAACAAGATCATGGTGGACATCCAGGCCCAGTATGACGAGCTGGCTTGGAAGAACACAGAGGATCCAGACAAGTACTGGTCCCAGCAGATTGAGGAGAGCACCACAGTGGTCACCTTGCAGACAGCTGAGATGGGAGCTGCTGAGATGACACTCACTGAGCTGAGACATACAGTTGAGTCCTTGGAGATCAACCTGAACTTGATAAGAAATATGAAGGCCAGTTTAAAGAACAGCCTGAGAAAGGTGGAGATGTGCTATGCCAAGCAGATGCAACAGCTCGATGGAATCTGTCTGCAACTGGAGTAAGAGCTGGCCCAGACCTGGGCAGAGGTGCACTGCCAGGACCAGGAATACTAGGCCCTGCTGAACATCAAGGTTAAGCTGAGGGCTGAGATTGCCACTTACCACTGCCTATTGGAAGAAGAGGAGGACGTCAGTCTTGGTGACGCCTGGACAACAGACAATACAATCCATCCAAAAGACTACCACCTGCAGGACCATGGATGGCAAAGTGGTGTCTGAGGTCAATGACACCAAAATTAAGAGACATTAAAGGTTGTAGAAGTGGGCCACCCCTTGAGTGGGGTGTAGGAGGCCAATAAAAATTCAGAGATCACTGAACATTAAAAAAGAGGTGTACTTTTCTATGTGAGATCTGACACTAGTTTAGTAGTGTTTTGTGTGGGTGCATGAACAGGTATGCAGTTTAAGAGTGGATAGGTTCTCAAACCCTGAACATATGTTAAAACTGTACACTGTTTTATCACACTTATATAGTAGAAATAGTAGAAAAACCTAAGATGTTTTCACAAGGTAGTGTTTCACAAATCACTGCCTCCTTTGTTCTCTCTTCCCCTACCTAGGATCAAATGGAAAAGTGGAAGCAAAAGGCATCAAAGGAGATCCAGGCTCCAGAGGACCCCCAGGGAAACATGGGCCCAAGGGACTTGTTGGCCGCATGGGGGAGAAAGGCCTCAGAGGAGAGACTGGTCCTCAAGGGCAAAAGGGGGGAAAAGGTGATGTGGGTCCCATTGGTCCAGAAGGGCTGAAGGGCAATACTGGACCAATGGGCCCAACTGGTTTACCTGGCCCAATAGGCCCCACTGGAAAGCCTGGTCCCAAGGGAGATGCTGGGCCCCTGGGACCTCAGGGTGAGCCAGGGGTTCGGGGATTGAGAGGCTGGAAAGGGGACCGAGGAGAAAAAGGGAAAACTGGTGAGACTCCAGTCTTGCCAAAAAGTGCTTTCACTGTGGGGCTTACTGTGCTGAGCAAGTTTCCCTCTTCAGACATACCCATCAAATTTGACAGGATCTTGTATAACGAATTCAACCATTATGATATAGCTATGGGAAAATTTATTTGCCACATTGCTGGGGTCTATTACTTCACCTACCATATCACTGTTTTCTCCAGGAATGTACAGGTATCTTTAGTCAAAAATGGGGTAAAAGTACTGCACACCAAGGACGGTTACATCAGCTCTGAGGACCAGGCCTCTGGCGGCATTGTACTACAGCTGAAGCTTGGGGACGAGGTGTGGATGCAGGTGACAGGAGGGGAGAGGTTCAATGGATTGTTCGCGGATGAGGATGATGACACAACTTTCACGGGCTTCCTTTTATTCAGCAGCTAATGAGGGAGACATGTTTATAAATCTGCTTTCCCGCCTATCAAAATTAGCTCAGTGCAGTATATGATTGGATGATTTTTCTGTATTATTTACTCTCGTTATTGTAACAATTAGTAAAAAGGTAAAAATAGAAAAGTTATTCTTAAAACCAATTCTATGTAATTCACAATCTTTCCTAGAGTAAATTTTAAATACTTATATTATTCATTATAGTTCATTTTATATTTTTGATTATTTTCAATACCTGAAAAATCCTTTGCATGTGTGCATCTTGTGGAAAGAGCGTTTTGATATCATTTTAGCGCTCAGAGGAACAATATTATGATTTACCTCTTATCTGTATTTCCAAGGACATTAGGGAGAAAGAAAAGTGTTTTCTCCATTTAGTTACTAATAAAAATTTTAAGATAGTGATAATGAGACATCCCCAAAACAGGCAGAACACTTCATTCATATTCTAAATTAGGTTTTAATTAAATTCAACATATAGTTGTTCAGCAAACCATTTTGTCAGACTTGAATTAGTATTATATTCTTAGGGCTGCCATGACAAAGTACCACAATCCAGGTGGCAACAGAAATTTATTCTCAGTGCTGGAGGCCAGAAAGGCAAAGTCAAGTTGTTGGCAGGGCCAGGTTCTTTACAAAGCCTCTAGGTGAAAATCCTTCCTTGCTGCTTCCAGTTTCTAGCAATGCCAGACATTCCTTGGCTTGTAGCAACATCATTCCAGGTTTCATCTCTGACTTCATATGGCCATCATCACCCTATGTCTGTGCACATATCTCCCTCTTCTTTTTTTTAAGATTTTTTTATTTGTTTAATTTTAGAGAGAGGGAAAGGGAAGGAGAAAGGAAGAGAAAAATCAATGTGTGGTTGCCCCTCACATGCTCCCCACTGGGGACCCAGCCTGCAACCCAGGCATGTGCCCTGATTGGGAATTGAACCCATGACCTTTCAGTTTGCAAGATGACACCCAGTCCACTGAGCCACACCAGGCAGGGCTCCATGTTCTTAACCACACTAATTATATTGGATTGGGGTCTACTCTAATGCAGTGTGATGTCATCTTAATCTGATTACATATGAAAGACCCTATTTCCAAATAAGGTCAGATGCCAAGGGTTAGCATTTCATTGTATCTTTTGGGCAGACACGATTCAACCCATAACAGTCTTCTCTCTGGATTTTCTCTCTGGAAGTCTGTAGTCTTCAAATTCATGTTCTTCCCATGTGCAGAATACATTCATCCCATTGCAATATTCCAAAAGGTCTTAACTATTACAGTATCAACCCTAAGTCCAAAAACCTCATCCACATATCCTTAAGTCAAAGTTCTAAATCTTATGATCTTAATTATTTAAGTCAGCTATAGTTGAGATCTCTTGTGTGAACTGTCCTGAGGAAAATTATTCTACATCTATGGACCTGTGAAACCAGACAGTGAGTTATGTGCTTCCAAAAACAGTGATGACACAGACACAGGATAGATGCTCCACCCCAAAAGGGAGAAGTAGGAAGGAAAAAAGGGGTCATGGGTTTCAAACAAGTCTGAAATCCAGCAGGACAATCCCATCAGACTTTTTTCACTATTTATCTTCTAAAATTTTAAATGAGGTACACAAGAGAAAAAGGTTATTGAACACAGATCCTATAGTTTGAAGTATAGAATAGAGTTGAATTTACTAAGAGAGTGGAATAAAAGAAAAACTTGCCCTTCAAGCCTACTGACAGCATATCTTGTTCATACAGGTACCATCCACTTCCCTTTCTTCTGATGAAAGCAGCCTAATGTCCACTCTTGGGTCCCCAGTCTTTCAGATGTTGTAGGCACTATAGTTGAGGTGGGAGTGTGGGGTAGGGCACACGAGACCCAGGCCTGGCTAATAAAAACAGCACCTCCTTCTGGTCATGGTGATGATTTTTAAGATGGCATGTGATCCAGTCAGAGCCAATGAAATGCCACCTGCAACTGAGGAACACCCAATGGAAAAAAAGGCAAGATCTTTTTCAGCTGAAATTAGGACTTGAGCTGGTCATCATTTTGCTAATTTATAGAGCTGGAGAACCAAGCCAAACAGCTGGACAAAACCCAGCCATGAGGCCATTGTTTATGGCCCTAAATCCAGCCAGACCTAAAGGTAGAATCTCCTGGAATATTTTGTTGTGTGAGCCAGCAAATTCTCTCTTTGCTCAAACCATTTTGATGCAGATTTTTGTTGTTGTTACTACTGCTTTCTTTTAAAAGAATCTTAGGTTATTTATGGTCCAATGAGAGGGGCAGTATCATCACAGTGGGAAAGCTCAAGACAGAATTGAGCTATGGGTTGTTGTTCCAGCCATGATGAAGGAATTTGAATTGCAGGTGTTATTTAGTCTTCTTGTGCCCCAGTCTTCTTTTGTGCAATAGTGGCTTCAATCCTCACAAATTAACTTAATACACTTTTCTATTAGTAGAGAGCAACTAGAATGCAAGCTCAATGGATATTCAAGCTACAGCATTTTCTTAACCACAGGCTAGGATGAGATGTCTGACATAATGTGCCACTTAAAATTGGGACTTACAGCCATTCTATCTATGCTTCAACCAAGTCAATGTGGTTATGGTGATATCTTCATTCTCTGGAAAAGTCAGTCTTTTCTGGATTACCATTATGAGGAGGCAGCACATCAATAGATGAAATACTAAAAAATTACTGGCTGGCTGGGGACTATTTGGGAAATAATTTCTATTTATAAGTATTTTATTGGCTTTCCTTAGTACATTTTTCTTCTAGAACAGAACTAGGACTAGGGTGAAGCAGGTAATGCACTCAGAGTGTAAAGTTGAAAGAGGCACCTCACTTTCAGCTGCTGTCACTGCATGCACATGATCCCAACCATGAGTGCCTCCTTAAGATTTGTACCCCAGGTGAGGAGCTTGTCTCATGCTCTGTCCAACTATAGAATGACTGACTGATCACTTTACTTGCTCATTTAGCCAGAATACTTTTATTCTTTGGAGGTTTTTTGAATTGTAATAACCCAAGCTGTTTTTCTCCTGTGGAAAAGCCTAGCTTTGTTATGGACCCAGTAAGGGAATACTTGTGTTTAGGCCCTCTGTTGAAGACCACAACTTTATAGGCTGAGATAAGCACAAAGAAAAGAAGTACAAATTATGACTAGGACATAGGATACAAGTTTTTATAAAATAATTTTTATAGGGCAAATAAGAAAGTGAGATGTAAAACATGTTTTAAAGATCTTCAGAAAGATAACATTGACCGGGGTAGGGCTGGGGGGCTCTAATCTGCCATTTGAGATTAAGTCATGTCACATGATGGGGTGCAGCCAGGAGAGGGGCCCCAGGCAGGGATTTGTATAGGGTCCAGAACTCGCGGTATCCAGGAAATATTAGAAAAATATATAGGGTGTCCTCACCCTCTCACAAAGCTGAGCTGGGGAATAGGACAAGTGGAACAAGGTCATTGGGAGCTGTGTTGTATAGCAACAGCTTTGCAGCTAACCTCTGGCATGGTCATTTAATATACCTATAATATTTAACTGGTTTCATAGATATATTAAATAGCTGTGGCCATGCTTTGAGCCAGGGGGATGGAAGTGACTTCCACCCAAGATGTAATTGGGAAGCAGCTCCCCCTGGTTACAGCACCTGCATGAGAGCTTGGAGATAATTGGCTCCATGCCATAGGGCCACACCTGCCCAGATTTAAGATGGCAGCCTAGTAAAGCTGGACAAATACAGGAATGCTGGCAAGTGTAGCCAATTGTAGGAGGAGTCGGAAATAGGGCTGCAGAGAAAGACTGGTGCAGGGATTTAAACCCAGACACAGCAGCCATGTGAGGGGAGAACCACATAGTTTTGGCAGAGTGGGGACCCCACAGCTTTGGCAAGAGTGAGAACCATGTAGCTTTGGGGTGCTCCCTTTTGCCACGTGGCTTAGGAAGCAGGAGAGACTTTTCCTGGAAGAAAAGGGGTGAAAGGACTCTTGCTAGTAGGCCATGAGAAGGTGCCACATGGTTTTGGATTAACTGGAGATCAAGGCGGCGACACAGCTGATGGTGCCAGGAGCCCGAATCATGGACTTCTATCTTTTTTCCTGAGATACAGTACTCCACACTAGGCAGAGGGAGAAGGAAGGACTGTGTGCCTACCTGGGTATCCTAAAGGACTTTAGTATTTTAATGAAAACATTTAGTCACTACTCTAAGTCTGTATAACTTTTAAATAAATATTCCCTTTCACAAATCTCAAGCATTGAGAGATGTCTTCCTCTGGTGGCAGGCATAGCAAACCTAGTGGGAGGTCCTTTTGATAATAGTATATTGTGCACCCCCCTTGGGTCTGTCCTGTAACAATCATACCTCTGGTATCCATGGCAAAGGAATCATGCTTTATTTTATTTACAGAAGACCAAAGCCTCTAATGCCCTCTGCATTCAGAGAATGATTTATCCAAATCATTGAGCATCCAGTTCCTGCATAAAGCCAGGGTGGAGAGGTGATATTATGAGGAGCTGGCAGAAGGCTGTATAACAGCTCTCCCTTCCTACTTTCCTGCATGGTCTTCTTCCCCACACTCAGTCATCTGGCTTCACTTCTATAGAAAGGTCAATTCCCAAAGTATCACTCCAATGTTGACTACTGCAGTAGCCCCATCCCCTGAGACATCAAGAAGCGGCAGGTGTTTGAAGACAGCCAAGTAAAATGTGATAGTGTTGTTTTCACAGCCTCACTTAGCCTGAGTCCCTTTACCAACTATTGGTTCTCTCCTCTCTGCCCACAGACAGCTCTCAAAATAAAAACACCTTACTCCTGCCTTGGCCAGGTGGTTCAATTGCTTGAAGGGTCCTCCCCCTAAACCAATGGGTTGAGGGTTGGATTTTGGCCAGAGGGTGGTCAATCAAGATGTTTTCCTCTCATATCAATGTTCCCCTCTCTCTGAAATCATATGAAAACATATTCTCTGGTGACTATAAATAAAAAAAGCTTAAAAAACACACCTTACTGTAAACAAGACACTTAATGCCTGCACACTCCTAGAAGGTACATGGGGTACCTGGTCAGTTGCCTTTCTGCAGACAAAAATGCTTAAGTTCATCAAGATAAAGCCTCAGAACCTGGACAATGACCTGCTCCCAACAGGGGACTGTGGTGGGACTTCCTCTTTCTTGGAGGAGGCTGAGGCTGTCACAGTGCCTCCCCCCTCCCCCCTTGTCCTAGCACTGTTCCACAGTCCCCATGCTAAGCCCCAAATCACAACTTCCTAATGCTTCTCCTACCCTAAAATCTCTTCACTCCCGTCTTGTTGAATGAAGTTTGGTGAAGTCCTCCATATTCAAATTTATATTGTAGGTTATTATAATAGTTTTTCAAGTCAAAATAGATGAATATTTTAGTGACAGTTAATTTAGTTGGTCCCACACAACCATAGCTCTGATGTTCCCCAGTCACACCTGTATTTAATTCCTGCCATCTTCTCAAGTGAAGGTCCATCCAGTGGTCGCGGGTCAAAGTCCCCCTCTCTCATCGTGGAAGGCCCTCGGGCCTCGCAGGCTGCCTTCTGAATGTTTACCGCCCCTCTGGGAAGAATTCTCCGCCCCCGCCCCCCCCCCCCCCACACACACACACACACTCCCAGTCATCTGGGGGAAGGGAAAACCTCAGCCATTTCTCACTCCAGGAGCAAGAGGGCGCGAGACCGCACTGCTGTGGGAGGCGGTGGGCTAAAGCTCTTGCCCAGGGCACAACGACCGGCCAGGTTTCACTGGTCTCACTTTCTCCCGGAGAAATGCGGACATCACGTGAGGCGGCTGGACAGCTTGCCTTGGAAACCCGGTCCTGAGGCTGGCCCTGGGGTGGGAGGAGGACCCAGGGATGCCCGCGGGGCGGGGCGGGGCGGGGCTCGGCTCCTCAGTGGATGTTGTGCTGTGCGCCAGGTGGGGCGGCTTGTAACCTGGATATCGGCTCTGCGGCAGTCGGTGGTCCCTGCGAGGCCTGGAGCAAGTGGGGCTTCCCTTCCAAGGAGCAGCACTGGCTGGTCTCGGGTGGGTGCCTTCCTTGTGGTCCAGCCCCAGAGTGGGAGGTAGCGCCGCCTCCTTTCCTGGAGATAAGTCGACTCCCTTTTCTGCGTGGCCAGCGGGGATTGGGGCAAATTTTTGGAAGGCTGGGAAGAGCCAGGCGGGGAACGAAAGTTGTACAGGAGGGGCCCTTTGCGCTCTTGGTGACCTTATCGTCACCAATTTGAGGTGCTGCGTTAAGGGGGCAGGGCGGCCTGTAGTGGTCCCCTCACCCAAGTTTGGGGCCTAGGACCTGTCTCCATGTGAAACCCTTGCTCCATGAGTGAACTTAAAATTATTCGTCTTGGAGGCGAATTCCACCTGCCCGTCCGTCCTGCCTTCTGCTCACTCTCAGTTCATCCGCACTAAAGTTCCCCATTTTGCTTCCACTCTGTGTTTGTGCAAAAAAGTTCTCACTTTGTGAGTTCACATGTCATGTCAATTTGTCTTTTTGCAAGGACACACTCGTCTTCAGCCCTGTCATTAGTAATTCCTTGGATACCCAAAATTCCATCATTTTCTTTTTCAAAGCTTTGGGCTCTTGGTTTTCTTTTAAAACAAAACTCTATTGAGAAGTTTAATATCCTACAGTGCGATGGATGAGGTCACATCCATTTCCTCCCCCAGGAAATTACTGACTGAATTCTTTGGCTTCTATTTATTCTGTATTCATGCTGCCCCAGCATGATGTCTGGCATTCAGTAGTCAGCTAGTAATATTGAATGGCTGAATTAAAGGAGAAACAAGGCAGGTGTGAAAGGGACTTACATGGTGCCTTTTATGAATTTTAGGTTTTTACTTTTATTTTTCCTTTTTAAATTTCTTTTCTATACCATTAACTTTTATATAAAGAGGAGCATGGGATAGATATGATTGTAGTAAACTTAATGGTGTGTGCTTTTAAAAAATCTCACTCATTTCTTTGTTTAAAAAAATTTTTTGTATGGAATTTGCCACACTAACTTCCATACAGGTGATGTTAGTATTAGCATAATTGGTGCAAGGAGTTGAACTATCTAAGTTCTAAGCAGAGTGAAGTGAAGGGGTAAGCTTGGTTTGGGGCAGATAAAATAAAAGTAATTTTAGCTCTATTTTTCTTTGTGTGTCATGATTTTAGGTACTGAAACTAGAGTTTCAAATATGTGATTTGGTTTTTGACCAAAAAAAAGTTTATTTAGTTTTTTAGAGTTACTTGTAGTCTGAGATTTAGAATTCCCAAGAGTAGCATGGGGAGGTAAGACTGGACTGGGAAGTGGAAATAGCCTGTACCTGACTCAAAAGTAGTATAGAGATGAAATTTATTTTTGGTTCTGATTCTACTCTGTCCCCAACTGTCTTCATTTCTTCAACTTCTTAGTATAGTTTTGAGGAAAAGTTAACAATTTAACTTTCCTTCTTGCAGAAACCGTAAGCCTAATCTGGCCTGAAAATTTTACCTCCTGGTACTTCCAAAATCATCATGTTAAGCATCTACAAAATTAATTTACAAAATCCACCATTAATTTGCTCCATTAATTTGGTTCATTTTAGTTTTCCTGTATATTAGGCACTGAGTTGGGCAGCTGGTTAAAATGATGAAGGGCAGGATTCCTCCTCTAGGAGCTTAACTTCTCAGGAGAGAAGACTTTCAAACAGATGAATTGCAATACATAAATAAGTATGGAGAAAGTGTGGGCTTTGGAGGTGCACGGAGCCCATTCAAGTTCTGATTTTCCCACAGTCATTCAGTGACCTCAGCCTTCTTTTTAACCTCTTAAAGTGTGTTTTATCTGTAAAGGTGAATGGTAGTTCCTGCTGTAGGATCATGTGGCTTAGGTGAGAAACCTGTGCAAAGTACATAGTACATTTCCTGGCATCCAGTAGATGTGGATGTGTGGGTTTTATTCCTGGCCCTCTCAGGGCTAGAACAAGTGTGACTGAACTGGTACAAGTAGAAGGTCATTGACATTATATTAGTAATTTTCGTTTTTATCAAGATATTGAAATGATTTTGGAAGATATAAAATTTGCTGCCAGCTTTTAACCTATGACTTGGTTTAACATGTTTAAATTTTCCTGAAATAGCTATGGGCTCAATAATCAATTCATTACCCCTAATTTATAATTGTGGAATAATTGGTGCTTTGTACTGAACCTCATTAGATGCCAGACAGTGTCCTAAGACTTTACATATATTTGCTAATCTAGTACCTGTGAACATGCTGTAAGATACCTATTGTCATCTTCACTGTGCTTGATGAAAATAACTAGGCCTAAGAGAAACCTGGCCCAAATCACACAGCTAATAATGACTGTAGCTAACATCTGTGAGCTCTTTGATGTCTCGTGCAAGGTTGTAGACTTAGACTTGGTATAAGACTTAAAACTCCCACTCTGCCAAGCTAGTAAAATTTAGGATTCATTACATCTAATATTAGACTGTAAGATTAAAAAGGTCTGAACTATTTGAGAGCAGTCGGGTATAATTTGTTACGGTAAAGTGTGTCATTAGGAATGAGAAGACTAGGAAAAAGTGATATTAAACTTGTACTTCAATATGTACATTTAATAAATATGCATGTAAAATGTAATAAAGGCATGATTACTCATATGGCAAATATTGTTAGTATGACAAAGATTTTTCATTTGTGAAAACTTCTACCAAAATTCTAATATAAATTGATCTGTTCATTTGCAATAAAATTAATGTTATAAAAACCAATTTTTATAAACCTTTCCAATAATTTTTTATAATTAAAAATAAGGTTTTTATATCAAACTGTATTAAAGACTTTAAAAATAATTTATTTTTATTGTATTTTTTCCATTACCATTTATTCCCTTCCCCCCACTCCCCCTTCCCCCCTGCAATCATGACTTTTTTCCACATTTAGAAATTGAAATAGAAGTGTACCTAGGTTTTTTCAACATATATATTAGAGAAAGTCTTGCAATTCTTTTACTGTGTAAGCTGTTTTCTCCTGGGTCATACTATTGTGGAAGAAAAAGGGGCTCTGTAATAAAGCTAACCAAAAGTAACCTCAGAGGATGATCTGATCATAAATTCCTAACTGGTAGGAATGGTAGGTAGTCACACCCCAAGCTTGTAACTTCTTTGGTGAAAGGTTTAAGCAGGTCCTGTTTTTTGTTTCTGTTAACACACAGTTGAAATACCTTTTTAGATCCCCTCAGAAGCATAACAACCGTTGAGAGAGCACATAATTAACTATCCGAATGATCTGATCATGGAGGTTTCCCTGCCTTGCTTTATCCCATTTTCATGTAATATTCCTTATGCTTCCTCTTTAATTCCAAGTGTGTAAAAGAAACTGCAAACTGTCATTCAGGGAAGCATTTTCTGTCTGTTGGGGTCTTGCTTCTAGGCATGTCCTCTGTGTGGCTCAAATAAAGTCTAATAAACTCAAAACTTTTCTACACATTTGGACATTCTTAAATTGAGTATAAAAGTCCCTGAAACATGCTGGTATTTGACCCATTATGGATCTAATGGCAACAAGAGGTGATAATTATGGGTCTTGAGGAGGATGAGTATCCCTTTCAAGGTGACACTGTGATAGGGTTCTCCAGCCAAGGAAGGCTAGTCATGGCACTACTAACCTACATCCATTATCAAGGTATGCTTAGAGTGACTCACAGATTTGAGATTCTTAGTTTCATTTGCATTCTACTAGATTTTTCCACTGTGAGTTTCAGTCTCATTATTTCTCAGTGTCATAACTTTCACCTAAGAGAGTTGTAAAGACTGAATCTCACTACTCTTATAATCCAGACACTTGCTCTGTTAAATTTTGTGTTTGGTGTTCAGAAATATTGGTCCCTGGTTTCAAGAAATAAGAGGTTATAATAGGATTGCCATGGAAGGTCTCTGATTCTCAGACTATAATCTTGAGCTTGTCTCTTTCTTTCTGTAAGTGATGCAGTGCACTCAGGAGAATCAATTACATAGTACAGTCCTTGTCATTGCTACTACTGTGATGATCCAGTATAGTAGCCACATGGGTTCTCGAGGCATTTGCTCTAATAAATACTTCATCACAGTCAGCCACCAGTAATGATTTAATTAATTGGAATGTCACTGTATGTCATGGGTAACTGACATATAATTTCTTGCGGGCGAGGACCTCTGTGCTGCCTTCAAACCTAAACACAGGACCAAATCCATTCTCAAATCCCAGCTTTGAGTGTCTGTCTCCTCAGACTACTCCCAGGAACAGTTCTACATCAGGGTCCAATCAGCAGACAACAGTAATGTGAACAAAAGAAATTTGCTATGAAGAATTGTGACTTGTAAAAGCTGACTAACAAACTAGAAGTAGTAAGTGCAAAAAGCGGTTATTACCTCTAGGACCAAGAAGAATAAAGTAGGAAGGCACTAAGAACTTAGAAAAGCTCTCCCACCACTTGCCTCAAGGCTGATTCAGACCTCCAGGGAGAAGCATGGCTGCCTGGGGAGCCCATAGCCTGCCACAGCTAAGGAAACATGTTGGAGGGTTATGAGCCAGGGCTGAACCAGAA